CGCTCCTTGTCCTCCTCGGTGTCGGATGGGGGCTCGACGGCGAAGCGTGGGAAGCGTGCCCCTGGGACCGCTTACAGAGCTGGCCGGGTCCCTGCCTCTCTTGGCCGAGTCTGCGGGATCGCCGGTTTTACTCCTCGCCGGCGCCGGGGACGCCGCGAGGGGTGGGGATCGGGCCATCAAGCTGCTCTTCCTGAATGCAGCAGGATCCCCCTTGTCCATTACCGTCTCCTGGCTTGGTGCAGTACCTACCAAGGCGGCCAAGTCAGCCACCGCCTCGACGGGGTGTGATGGAGTGTTGGGTAGGGCCTCCAGAATCCTTGCATTAGCCGTGGGTTTCCCCACGGGTGATTTCCACTTTTGTGGCTGCCACCTGAAGTATTTATGTTAAATTCCGACATTCCAGTAAAGGGTGCATTGTCGCCCAATGCAAGGCTGCATTTTATACCTTCTGCCAGGTTCTTTGGCTGCCGGCCACTATGGCACAGGCGTAGACTAGGTAGTCGCCCACTGTGGGTCAGACGCTACCTGGGTTTGGAATTTATGTGCAGCTTACGCCTGCTGCCAGGCATTTACCACCGCCGGCCACTATGGCACCGACACGGTTCACGCAGCCGCCCATTTTTGGACCGACGCTGCGAGGGGGTTTGGCCCAAACGGCCAGTGCACTTTCGGGGTCCCACGTTGGCCAGGAGTTTCCCCGTGACTGAACAGGTGGGAGTTATACCGCTCCTGCTCGGTCGCCAGAGCCCCGTTTGGAATGGTGAGCCGCGTAGCGGTGGGGATGGCAGTTGGTCAGATCCTTGACCTTTGTCACCCTCAGGCCTCCCAGTGCAGCTTAGGGCTCAGGTTTCACACACTTCCCCTTACCTCTTGCCAAGGATCAAGGGCAGCAGCCCAAAAAAGTATGCTACTTCCAGCATATGCAGAGCAGATGTGGGTGTCGCAACATGGAGCTTTCTACAGCGTGAGAAAGGGCTTGAGCAGAGGGCTTGACAGCGCCACCTGTCGCTCGAGTAGCCCGAAACCACCAGTGGCAGCGGGGGGGCTGCCAGACCGGGTAGGTTTCTGGCACCCCACAACACTAGACCCAGCTGATCTCGCCAACAACTGACGTGACCAGCGAAAAACTGCGGGGGCAGCCACGTTTACCTCGGGAGAGGCGACTCGCGAAAGCAACAGAGGCAACAACAAAAACATCGGGGGAAATGCTCTCACCACTCTCTCCGTCGACTCGGATCATTGGAATCCGAGGTTTGGTTCTTCCGGATCCTCCGCGGACGCCTGGGACCCGGCTCTGCACGTGAGTACCGCCGCCAGCTTCACGCAGCCTGCCAAACACAAATTGCGGGAGCACCACCGCAGTGCAACCGCACTCGCGACTTGCACAACTTCAACCCTTCAACCCTCCGCATTAGTAACGATGTATGTATGTGAGCTCGTCGAACGAAGCTGCCGCCTTGTCAGGCAATGGCAAGGTGAGGGATGTGCGGGGGCTGAGCTTCCGTTACGATAAACAATGAAGTAAAAAACAATAATTTTGCCACATAAATGCATATGCGGCCGTATCGGGTTCACAGCAGTAGACTGCGAAGCTAATACCGAGAATTTCTATACGAGCGAAGCGACATATAAAAACTGAATTAAATGTCTGCTGAGTACACCATGCGAAAAAATGTTATCTGGCCGGCGAAATTAAAACGCGCCGTACCACAAACTATGAGCGAAAAAAATAATTTTTAATGCGCCCTATTTGTACTGGATAATTGTGTTGTTAAATAAATTTTTGCCGCATTGAAAATAATGTGCGATAATATTATAATATTTATTTGTTAAATAATGGGGGTTTCGGGTTAATCTCCTCCACCGGATAAAATAAAAGAAATGAACACTAAACACCTTATAGTCGTCACATTCAATATTGGGATTTTTTGAAAAACCCACTTCAGACTTGTTTATTTGTATCTTTAATATTTTTACACTGGTCCGAACTATGGAATTTTTTATAGAAGACATAAAAGGTTTGACCGAAGGGCCCACTTACATGTTCTGTAATTGTGTGTTTATTAATTGGAACGGTTGCGATTTTCCCGCGCCGCTGTCACTTGTCAACTTCCAAGTTGATATCGATCTGTCCGGTAGGGTAGTTAGATACCACTAGTTGGGCGCCAATTAGTGTTATTGATATAATGAATGTGGAACTGCCGTCAGCAACGCAAGCTTCACTGGCAGTTGTAGGTGGTCACAGGGGGGGTGGACATCAGGCCAACTGTTGGCTGCTGGCCGGTTGGCCGTAGATCTCTTTATCCGCTGGCCTAGGGACTCAGATAGATGATGAATAAAAAGGTTTTAACAACACTTGTCGGAGTTGAGTTTGTGAGCAGTGGCTCTTTATTCAATTAATGTCAAATCAGAACTGAATATAAAGAATAAACTTATAGCTAACAAAAACTCACAGCGGCCACGCAAATATGCAGTGTCTGCCGTCTGTGCACGAGCATCCGGCCCATTGCTGGGTCAGCAGTTTGGCCGGAGCGTTATTATAATGTTGACTATGGTCAACGATTCAGGTCTGGCTGACCACAGTTAACTTACATATACGTGGAAAAAAAGCCCGACCTGCCGGCAGCCATTACTGACCGGCGCCAAACCAGAGCGAGCTGGAATAGTTAGAAAAATTAGTTTTGTTATTGTTATTTGTAAGTGATCTTCTTAATTGGATCTCTAGTTATTTGAATGGCAGGACGGAAAAGGTCCTCTTTAAGAATAATTTATCCAATGTTCTAAGGGTTACATCTGGCGTCCCGCAAGAAAGCCATTTGGGACCCTTATTGTTTATATTATTTATGAATGACCTGCCCAAAGTCTTGACTAACTCCAGAGTACTTATGTACGCGGATGACGTCAAGCTTTGCGTGCAATACAATGACGTTGCCTGCCAGTCGGATTTACAAACAGATCTTAATAATTTTCAAACTTGGTGCCGTGTAAACTTATTAAACTTAAATGACTCGAAATGCAAGCTAATGACCTTCTTTCGTGTCATTCCTAAGCTTGCTACTTACACGCTGAACTGCTGCTCTTTGGAAAGAATTAATTCTGTTGACGATTTGGGCGTCCGCTTGGACCCAAAACTTGACTTTATTGATCATATTTCGTCTATGGTGAATAGAGCCAGGGGTGTGCTTGGATTTATTAAACGGTGTTCGAAGGAATTCAAGGACCCCTATGCCACTAAATCCTTATATACTTCCTTAGTTCGTCCTATCTTAGAATATGGATGCTGTGTTTGGAGCCCTCAGTATGGCGTCCGTAGTAAACGCATTGAGTCGGTTCAAAAGAACTTTTTACTTTTCGCTCTACGCGGTTTAAATTGGGATGCAAACCAAAGATTACCTTCCTACTCCAGTAGACTCCTATTAATAAACTTGCCGTCCTTAGCCAATCGTAGAATGATGCTAGGGATAACCTTTATTTTTAACCATGTATAAGGTGATGTGGAAAGTGCTGACTTGTTGAGTCAGCTTAATTTCCATGTACCATGTAGAACTACTAGATCTTATATACCACTAGTGTTGCGCCACTGTAGAACCTCTTCTGAACTGCATGAACCTTTTAGAGTATTATGTGCAAATTATATTGATTCGTACACACTAATCTCTAACGTTGTTACCCTTCCCAAATTAAAATCTTTAATACTAACACACTTAGTAAACATGCAAGCTAACAATCTGGCAGCACGCCGGTAGTCAATTTCCTCGTATTCTGTCCTATATTTTCCATCGCGCCTACTAACACCTAACCCAAACAGGCACGTGCCTGGTGTCATACGGGCCACTTGAATGTACTGACCTTAGTGGATCAACGTACATTAAAGAGTGAAAAAAAATATTATAATATAATTATTAATTATAATAATATATAAATAAAAAATATTAGTGTGTTTATCTTGCCCTTCGTGTGATCGTATCCTGGGTCGGGGAGTGGTGCAACACATGCGCTGCGATCAATATGGGAACGGGGAAGAAGCCAAATATTAAACTCTCGTTCTTGAACCCGACCCTTGTCTATTTCTCTTGGAGCTCCAGCAGGGATACTAGGTGAAAGAGAGGGAATTCATTTTTGTTAGTCAATCGTGGCCAATTTGCGGCCGAGTAGCTTCTCCTCCGCGAACGTTTTTGGTCCCCGATAAGAGGCAGCCTTGGCGCAAGCGCATCCCTGACTGAGGCCACGTTTTCGCCGTGGACGAGGTGGCGCCTAATAACCTTATTGTTACCTTATTAAATTTAAGATACAGAAAATAGTCGATAGAAATTAAAGCTTATAATGAAAATGGAGTAAGTCTTTACCTGGGGGAGATGAGCCGGTCGCCAGGCCGCCTGGAGTAAGCTCCGGCCCGCCGGAGATGGGTGATGCCCCGAAATGTGGAGGAGGCATCACTGGATGGGTGGGCGCGTCGTGGCAGAACCAACCAAGCCACAAATTCGACCCAGCAGCGTATTTTTTTTTGTTTGTTTACTTTTTGTTGTGATTAATGATGACACTTGCACTTGAGTCCGAAAAGTCCGATTAATTCGGTATTTTGTGATTGTGCGGACTGCGGGCATTGGGTCGAACCCAGCCCTGGGCACCCTGAGCTAGCCCGGCGTTGCCCAAGGAAGGGGAGTTCCGTCACATTTAAAAATTCCAAGGTTACGTATCCGAATAGTCCTGATATTTACAAATCTTAACGTTAGCAATGTCTTTCAAATGTGGAGAATTCGTGATGTTCCTACAAATAGCTTTAAAATTAATAATACATACATACATATGTACCTAATGGGGTTGAAATCATTTCCAAGTTGTAAGATTCTGAAAAAATTATTAAATACAATGCGAGTATAAGTTGTTTTTAACTGCACACTTTTGGGTCTTACTTTTATCCATTATAAAACAAGGGTATAAAAAAATATAACAAAACCCGGGGAAATGGCATTTGACCTAGGACTCAGTTTTCATTTATTATCAACTTACTACTTTACAGTCAAACATACAATAATTTTGCAGGAAAAATAATAATGTTTACACACTTTTCTGCCTTTCAAAGGCACATAGATCTAAAATCATTTTCTAGCGAAATAAAATAACATTGAATATTTATTAAGTCGTTGAATACTTTTGCACGACTTAAGAAATAAAAAAGACAATAAGTTAACTTAATATTTAAATTCACTCTATACTTGAGGGATTGCCATCAAACAATTGGTGCATTAAGGTAAGTCTTCCGTTTATACGACAAGGGTTTCGTGCTTAATCCTGAGCCATCAATAAACTTTTCGAAGTCGGCCAGGTTCAAAACCATCTGCTTTGACCTGGCGGGTTCCAAATGCGACTTGCCAAGAGCACTGGCAATATCCTCCATTCTTTGATCCAGTTGCGAGTACTCTTCTTGTTGGAACGCCTCGTCTAGGTTGTATTCATCAGCCTTGACAGGCATTTCGGGATCTTTTACTTCTGGATGGCTGCGATCGTACTCCGCATCCAAATTATACCAATCAAATTCCGCCTGTATAGACATCTCGCTGGATGGACCTGGCATTGCCCTTGGCACAGACTTCGATGCTGGGGTGTTGGAAAGGCTCTTGCTTGTGGATGGGGAGTTAGGCAAGCTGATGCGCTTTTTGATCTCGGCTAAGATATAAGGCACATGTTTTCGTTTGTATTGCATGGTTGACCGGGAAAGAGATTGCGAATGCTGTGTCATTTGCAACGGCCTCTGAATCTGTAACGCGGCTTTGGGTTTTATCTGAGTATCCGAGTCGGACTGCTTGGGCGCAATGATAGCAGCCACATTGGGTAACTTTGGTATGTCGGCCAAAATCTCCTCAATTTCATCAATCTTGTCCGAAGGGTTATCATCTGAATGGTTTCCATTGGTTTTTATTTTCGTTTGCGTTGCCTGTCCCTTGACATATGTCTCCTGCTCCACTGCCGGAGGTGAGTTAGATTCCTGCGCCTTGTGCACATCAACAACGATTTGGACACAATTCCTGGTTATGCCCACTTCGGATATGGAGCAGTAATCTGGTTCGGAGGCTGTGATAGAAGCTCCGGAATCGCTTTCGTTCTTCTGCTGCCCTTTTCCAAAAAGCTGGGGCGACTTTTGAAATTTTAATAGGTTTGCTGGTTTCGGCGGCAGAGCTGGCGGCAACTTCAGACATGTTTTTGAAATGCCCGAACCGGCTGTCTTTTCTCTGCTATTTGTGGTGAATGTGGCTGCCATATCCACATAGAAATTAGATGCGCGCTCCGAGCCAATAGGCTCATACTCGTTGCTGTAAATACTTCCATAGTTAAGGGCATCGTTCTTTCCATCGGTGGTCATAGAACGGTAGCTTGAGATATGAATCTGGCGACGCACTTGCGCCTCTTGGTCGTTGAGGAGTGGAACATGTACCATGCTGTTTTTAGTGGAAAAGTGCACTCGCTTACGTCCATTTGAAACGGGCCGTCTCCCCAAGGAGCTTCTTCGTGGCAAATTGGCGTTCGATATGTATCTGCTTGCTAAGGCTGACTTGGGCACAAGATCAACCATCGTTTCTTCCATGGACTGCTGAAGTAGGATTTGGTTAACGCATTCCAATACCGGATTTACTGCGCCACGACCGTAGGGCTTAGCTGCTAATGTCGACGACTCCTCTTGGTCCGAAGCGCTGGCGTACCAGTCATCGGTAGTCGTCTCGTAGATCTGTTTTGGGGACGCTTCTGAAAAGTCAGCAAAGCGTCGTTGAAAAATTTTAATGCTGCCTTGCGAGATCGTATTTTTCTTTTGATCGTCGTCGGTGTCGTCCCCTCCCTGCGTGGGAGATAATAAATCATCCTCCTCCTCCAGATGAAAGGTCACCAGAGAACTGCATGGTGGTTTGCCTTGATCTAGCTCCTTGTTGCCTTGCTTGCTATGTTCGTCAATCTCTAGCGGCAGCTTAACATCGTTAATTCTCTCCAAATCCCGCACGTAGTTTTGTAGCTGCTCGTAGCTCGTCTGCGAGTCCTCATGACTAACACTACTTGTGTTTTCCTCCGAATGTTGCTCCAAAGCTGGGTTTTTAATATGCATTGACCGTGAACGCATATAGTCCCGAAAAGTGCCCGCCGTGCGCTTGCTGGTGTATCGCACGCTGCGTCTGACGCCGCAGAAAGACGATGAATGTGTATCGTCGCTAGAAGAGTCCAGCTCAGCTATAATTAAGAAACAAATAAAATACATCATTAATATATGAGCTGTGTAGTAGTATATGAGTATGCTTGTTGTTTGACCCCTAAATCTTTGTGCGTCGTACTTTGTGAAATACACACAAAGATCTTTTTCTCGAAAAAATCTAGTCTTTAATTATAATCGCCTAATATATCGTTTTTCAGCATGTTCAACTATTGGGTTGGCAAGAAAGTCATATTTATATCAGGACTTGTAATTAATCAATTATGTATTGGCCGTTTTGTTCGACCACTAATGATCATCTCTCGGGCTGCTGCATAATTCCGCGCTCGAAGAACTTTTGATCTTTTCCACCAAAGAATTGAGACAAGTGGTTTTCGACAGCCTCATCTGAATCAAAGTTTTTACCATTCAAAGAGTTTTGAAGAGAGCGAAACAAAAGGTAATCTGAAGGTCCTAAGTCCGGACTATAAGGTGGATGTGGAAGCACTTCCCAATTCAGCTCCGTTAATTTTTTCCGAGTGACCAAAGATGTGTGAGGCCTAGCGTAGTCATGGTGAAAGACTATACCCTTGCGATTAGCTAGTGCCGGCTCCTTTTCCTTATTTTTTTCCTCCAAATTGGATAGCTGGCGACAGTACACATCTGAATTGATGGTTTCGTTCCGTGCCAGCAGCTCAAAATGCACTACACCCTTCCAATTCCACCAAACAGACAGCATAACTTCCCTCTGATGGATATCGGGCTTTGATGTGGCTTGGGGTGGCTCATCTTTCTTGCTCCATGATCTTTTTCGTTGGACATTATTGTAAACAACCCACTTTTCGTCGTCAGTAATGATCCGCTTCAAAAAATGATCGTTTTTAATCAGTTGCAGCTGAGAAAAGCAGATGTTGATACGCTTAGTTAGGTGAATTTCCTTTAAGTTATGCGGAACCCAAACATCGAGCTTGCTTACGTAGCCAAGTTTCTTCAAATGGTTTTCAACCGTTTTATGCGACACACTGAGCTTCTCTGACATCTCCCGCGTTGAATAACGCCGGTTTTCATCCAGCAAAGCCTGAATTTGTTCGTCAAAAACGGCCGATGGTCGACCAGAACGTGTGGCGTTTTTAACTCCAAAATCTCCAAGCCTGAATTTGGCAAACCAGCGCTGACATTGGCGATCACTCATGGCATCTTTACCATACACGTCGCACAATTTTTCGCGAGCTTCGACCGCTTTTTTCCTTTTCGGAAGTAAAAAAGCAAAATATGCCAAAAATGCTCACTTTGGTCCTTCATGTTTAATTTGCTATAGCTTCCACAAATGTTATCGAATAATTACCAAATTTTCGTCGATAGTACCTAAGACAATAAGCTTTAAAACGATACTAAAAAGTTTGACCCTGGTGCTCGGTCGTAAATAAATTAGATTCAAAACGATTACTAAAAAAAACGACATGACTTTCTTGCCCACCCAATACATTGTTTAATAGGTCCCATGTCTATCATTCGATTCCCCACAAGAGTATTATATGGGATTCTACGTTCCGGAAATATTTATATTTATAGATAAACACATTCTTGTGAGGAAAAATGCACATACAATGTGGTAGTTATAGCTTTTAGAGATTTAGTCTTATAAACCAACAGATCTCACCCTTTTTATTATTGTTTATTAAATATCACAGCCTTTTTTGACCGACTTATTGTTTGAAAAATAAAACCATAATTTTTTGTACAAAAAAGCACACTCTATATCTTACCCTTGGTGCATACGGAAAATTCCTCTCTTTTCGTGCTCATATCAATATCATAGAATTGCTTGCGACAATTATTGCATTGGAGTTCCTTTAGTACTAGGCACTTGCCGTGATCCACCCACTGTTCGTCAATCACGCCCTCAACACGCTGTTGGTCCTTAAGCCGCTTTCGCAAGGTGCGGGTTAGTCGGGTCAGACGGCAAATCTCGGCGTCCCTGTCCAGCATCCTCTGGTTGACCGACTTCAAGTCGTTCTTAAGTTTAGCTTCAAATAATATCAGCGACTTAACTACGCAAGCCAGCTCCTCGGTGCGGCGTCTCTTCTCCTTAGCTAGCTCACGCTGCAGTCGCTTGTTCTGCAAGTCGTAAGCGGAGATCATCTGAAGTAGTCGACGTCGCTGAAATGTCTCTGATGTAGGCATCGTCTTCAATGTCACTCCGCCACCGCTAACAGTGCATGAGGAACTCGAGCCAGAAGAACTATGCTGAACTTTATTTTCACTTCCGCTCTCACTGCTTTGCATACACATCAGCGACTGAGATTTGTTGTCCGTGCCCTATGAAAGAAAATAAGGATTTTACACAAATAATAAGAAAAAAAGTTTTTATACCCTTTCAGATTGCAATTCGATCACTAGAATTATAATTTTTTTTTGTCAAAAAACAAAAACTTAAGCCTTCTTTCATTACATTAGGAAATAAATTCATCCAAAAATGATGATAGAATTGGCAAACTGTGCATTTTCATTTTTACCAACAGCATGATGACATGTGACTTTCATCCTCAACTATGGAAGAACTCACAATGATCCATAAAGCCAAAGACAATTGGTGCCAGCCCTTACAAAATCTAAATATTACTTCCGCAACATAAAAATAAAAAATTAGCGTCATATCCACAGCAAAGAAATTTCGAAGTAGGGGATGCATAGATTTCCTCTCCAAATGTAGTCAAATTAAAGCTAGCATACCCCATGATAGGGAGTTTAGACTGACACTGAATATGATCACTACCCTACAGTACCTGTCATCAGTAATTCATCAACGTTTCATCAATAATCAAGGGGGTGCTGTTGATTTTTCATCGATGACAGGATATACAAACTGTTGATTTATTTAACATGGGCATGTCCTAGGCTGTCATCAATAAAAATTCATCAACAATACATCGATGATTCAGCAACAATTGACAAATAAAAATGTTTTAATACAATATGGAATTCAATAATAATTTCTTGTCGGTCAAAAATTCCTTTTGGGAAATATATTGTCAGAAAAAAAACTTAAATTAAAAAAAGAAGTAATTATAGTTAGATAACTTAAATAATTTGTCCCCTAATGCAAGCGCTAGCAGCTAAGTATTGCTGTGACGTCATAAGTAAGTGAGCCGCCGCTTCGGCGCACTGGCTGTGGCCGTCCGAAATCTATAAAACAGACTCTGCATGCTGAAATTTGTATACATATACACAGAAACGAGAGCGTAGCGCAAAGAAACGCACCCCTGCTCATCGTTCCACGGTCGATCTGCCACTGAAAAGTGAATTCTTGTTGTGCTCGGTTTTGAACGAATGCTTCGAACTCGAAAAAGCCGAACGCACTCTGGGGTTCTAGACATATCGTTCGGGTGCTCTGGGGTTCCAGGCTCAGTCGTTTTTGTGATAGTACTTTTTTGTACTGTTTGACTTCTCTTTAGGGATGCAGAAACATCGATGTATGCATCAATCGATGTTTTCGATGTTTAAAAAAAAAACATCGAGTGACACATCGATGTTTCTAAAAAAAAATGGAATTTAACAATATGACTAGATTTTATTCGAGATCTGTGATATCAGAAATATCAATAGTATTATTGAAATGTGAATTCTTATTGATAAATAAAAGCTTGTTCACAGAGCCTTGTCCTGCGGTCACTAATACACTCCTGTTCATAATTATACGACACCTATGAAATTTTTGTTTCAGCGGTCGTAGGAGAATGGAAACACACAGTAGATCAAAATAAAGTATGACGAATAATAGCACAAGGAGTTGTGCACAAAATGCGCTATTCGTATCCTTGCTTGCATCACTCGTTTTCAAGTAACGGTAAAAAATGCACACACGCCCTGATTTAGGCTACCCAGAAATTGTTTCAAAATGATACGACACATTTCAATTATTGCGGCTAAAGAGGATGGTTTAGTGTTTATTGGGTTTTTTATAATTTTGTTAAATATTTTATTCATTTTTTAATAAAATGCCGCATGGTAGCTTATTAAGCGAAGGAGAGAAGGGAAAAATTAAGGCGTATAACGAGTCTGGCTTTAATTTTAGCCAAATATCCCGGCTGATGGGTCGAACACGCTGTATTATTACCAAATTTTTGAAAAATGTGGATGGGTACGGTGTCAGGCGTAGCTCTGGAAGAAATCCGAAGCTATCTGATCGCGACAAACGTCGAGTATTTAACAATGCAAGCAATTCTTTTTCATCGTGAGCCTCACTTTCTGCGTGTTGCAGTCGTCCTGTGTCCCGTAGGACTATCTGACGAACATTGCTAAGCTCCGAAAATATTGTAAGAGTAGTTTTTAAAAAAATTCCGATATTAAAACCGCAGCCCAAAAGAGCACGACTTCAGTTTGCCGAAAACAATTAGGAAACAAACTGGACCTCAATATGGAATTTTAACTCAACTTTGGTTATAAAGGTTTTTGTCAATATTTCACATTTTAGATAATTTTTTCTGATAAGAAAAAATGTAATCTTGATGGCCCAGATGGGTTTCGTCCTAATTGGCTTGATTTGGGTAAGGATTCCCTTATGTTCCTTACATGCAATTTTGGAGGCGGATCAGGTATGGCTTGGGGAACCTTTCATGCTGTTGGTACGCTTGAACTGTGCTTTACAAGCTCAGAAATTAAAAGTCCAGACTACAAAAATGTGTTACAAGATCGTCCTCTGTAATTTTCGGATCAGAATAAGGACCAAAATTATGTCTTTATGCAGGATAATGCGAATGCAAAGAGACGCAATGGTTCCTCGATGACAATAAAATAAATGTTTTGGATTGGTCGGCTTGCTCTCCTAACCTTAACCCGATTGAAAACATCTTGGGTATCTTAGCCAGGCGAGATTACGCCAACAACAACAAATTTCAGACTGTTAAAAGTCTCAAAAATGAAATTTTAAGACAATGGTCTCTCTTGGATCAAAATATCTTAAAAAACCTTAAAAATTCAATGCCTAAAAGAATTTTTGAAGTAGGAAAAGCACAAGGCGCCGTTATAAACTATTAATATTTAGTTATAAACAATTAAACCAATAAAATATTAGCTGTAAACAAAAATAATGAAATGTGTCGTATCATTTTGAAACAATTTCCGTGTAGCCTAAATCAAGGCGTGTGTGCTCTTTTTACCGTTACTTGAAAACGAGTGATGCAAGCAAGGATATGAATAGCGCATTTTGTGCACAACTCCTTGTGCTATTATTCGTCATACTTTATTTTGATCTACTGTGTGTTTCCATTCTCCTACGACCGCTGAAACAAAAATTTCATAGATGTCGTATAATTATGAACAGGAGTGTAGTTTGTCCAGCTTTGCTGAACACTCTTTCCGCTTCGCATGACGAGGCTTGTATAGACAAGTATTTGGCTGCTACCAATTTTAAAGAGCAGTCATCAGTACTCATCTATAAAAAAATGGTTATTTAGCATTTTCCGCATAACAATTTTAAAGTCTTTCCTTCCAATATTTTAGAGGGTCTTCATTTTCTCCAAGGTTTTCTTTTTCGGAGTTGTGTGAAAAAACATCGATGGTGGTGACCCAGCCATCGATGGTTTCGATGATTTGCAAACATCGATAACATCGATGGTTCACTCGGTGTTTCTGCACCTCTACTTCTCTTTGTATTTCTTGCTTAGTGGTCAAACGCAACTGTAGAAGACTTTCACATACGTTTAAATGAACAAAAATATAAACCCATAACCTTAACCCAAGAAATACAAACTGGCCCTCCATTGTCTGCAATCGGCCGATCAACAATAAAACTAGAGTATAAACTAATTTTGTTCAATATACTCCCTAAACTAATTTAGACATATTGATCCGAGCAATGGGGAAACGTATCTGTTAGTAACTTTTAAAAAATCCACAGAGTTCAATAAAATATGTATGTACATGTAATACTGGGCATCGTAGTACATAGGAAATACGAGTAATGTGAATATAAGATGTAATGTTTAATCTGAACGCTTACTGGGTTCATGCTTTGCTTTCTGGCTGGATAGTCATCAGAGGTGTGAGTGCTTAACGAATCCAGCGGACTGAGTTTCTTTAGGTTCTGGTGCCGAATTGCCTTGCTAAGTGTTTGTCCTTCGCAACTAGTTTTCCTGCCCGGTTGTTTGCCCTGTACCACCTCGTAGATTTCGCCATCGCCATGGGTGCGATAACTCCCGTGGAGACAGTCAAAGCCTCCGCGGGCTGATTCTTGAAGATTTGAGTAAAGTTGACTACTGTTCCCTTTCTGACATATTAGGGAATCGTAGGAGCTGTTAAGGAGCTCGCTCCGGATGAATTTATCGATTAACTGGCTGGAATACTTGGAACTAAGCTGGCAGAAAAATTTGCTACCTGTGTCGCTGAGGTTACTGGTCGAACGGCGGTGCTGCTTGACATCCACTGCTGCCTTTTGACTTATATGAGGTAGACTGTTGGTTTTCTTTTGTTGGTCAAGAGTTGCCTGAAGATCATGCATTTGGGAGCTGATAAGTTGGCTGAACATGTTGGCTGGGATTTCAGAAAAGCGTAGTCATTTTTTGTATAACGAGCTAGTGCATATAAAAACGCTTCAATTGTTCTGCCTTTTCAAAAAAGTACTGAAAGTATAAGAAATGTTAAGAGTTTATGAACGGAGCCAAATTAAGATATACTTAATTGTTATCACTGTTTGCACAGGGAAACTACTATATACATACATACATTGATACATGCAATATAAGAGAAAGTTCTTTTGCTCTTATCATTGCTTTATTTTATATAAATTTTTCCGCTATTTCATCGACTCTAGCTGGACTGTAAGTACTAATATTCTCTCACACAGTCCACAGAAAAACTGGTGACTGGATTAAATAACTTAAGAATTTTTTTTTTCATCCATTTTGTATAACATTTTATTAGTACAATCAATGAGCGCAATCTATGAAAATGTTTTAACTGGCTAAATGTTACCTACGAGACCAACCAAATTTAAAATAACCCAATCTAGTTAACTAAAATATTTTAGGGAGTTCTTTGGTTACTTGGATATTTTAATTGTTTCTAGTCATCGTTGTATACGAAATTTTGACTGATAAGAGGATGAACTCAGAGTAGGACCGAAACACAATTCAAATTTATAATTTAAAGCGGTTCATTACATTTTTATATAGAATAAAATGAGAAATTTGCTGAAAGGCAAACCTTATCTCTGTCTAATTAGTATATAAGGCTATACATATGTATGTTATTGGCCTCAAGAGGGTGTTTCAATATGACAACTTATAGTGATTATATTGAAGAAAGTTAAAATTATGCTAAATTCACTGGGAATATAGTTATAGTCCCCCCCCCCACTTTTTACAATATATCACGAATTTCCCAATTTAAGATCGCTAAATCTAGAGGGAAAATAACTTAACAAGCTACATTGATTATTGTACATCAACATGACGAGAATACGTTCTTTACGTATGGCTTCCTGCAATGATGTAATTGGATTACAAAAATTAGGTGGTTGGGCAAAAAGAAAAAGGCAGGCAATTGTTGCCGTAAACCTTCTCATTATTTAAGTACGGTAAGGAAACAGCGAACACAGTTTTAAAGCAGTGAGAGAGAGAGCAAGAGTTGAATAGCCCAAAATGGCGTATGAAGAATGAATGGCCTTGCCAGTTAGCCCAAGGGCACATTTTCAGGCTTTCCAAAGCGGGGTGCGAAAATGAATTTCCAATCATCTTGACCAGCATTAAAAGCAGAGTCGATCTAGCCTGTCTGTCTGTGTGTTAAAGCTATCTGAATACTATTTTGTAGTTTGTTTTGTCCGAACGTGCCAGATCGACCGACTATATCATATATACCATTGGGTGTCTAGATAAAAAAAAAAAACACGAATGGAAGCTAACTTCGGCACGCCGATGTTTATATATCCTTGCAGAGAGAACTTCGACAACTAGGAATTAATACATACATACAACATATAGATATAGATATAGATATAGATATAGATATAGATATAGATATAGATATAGATATAGATATAGATATAGATATAGATATAGATATAGATATAGATATAGATATAGATATAGATATAGATATAGATATAGATATAGATATAGATATAGATATAGATATAGATATAGATATAGATATAGATATAGATATAGATATAGATATAGATATAGATATAGATATAGATATAGATATAGATATAGATATAGATATAGATATAATATAGATATAGATATAGATATAGATATAGATATAGATATAGATATAGATATAGATATAGATATAGATATAGATATAGATATAGATATAGATATAGATATAGATATAGATATAGATATAGATATAGATATAGATATAGATATAGATATAGATATAGATATAGATATAGATATAGATATAGATATAGATATATAGATATAGATATAGATATAGATATAGATATAGATATAGATATAGATATAGATATAGATATATAGATATAGATATAGATATGGAATTTAATAATTTTGTTTAATTGTTTTGTTTGTAATTATAAATTTTTTTTTTTCAGTTCTGGTTTTTATAAAAGCGTGTTTTTTTTTAGTTTTTTTAAACTAGATACTAACAATCGATTGTATGACAGATTTTTGATATATTCGCTTGATTTTCATAAAACCAAAATCAAAATTCTTTAATAATATGAAAGGGCTATATCTCAAATTTGATAAAAACTTGTTGAAAACCGAAGTTATAATTTTTAATTTTATAAATTTCTCGATCGTTGCGAGGCAGCTATTTCGTGAACGATATCATTAAATTTTACACAAAATTGTAGAATATTATAAAATAGCTATATCTTAAATTTGATAAAATTCTTTTTAACACTGAAAATGGTGTAGTTTTTTTTGGACAAATTTTCCGATCGTTCCTGTGGCAGCTATATGATATAGTCGTCTGATCTGGCCCGTTTTGACATTTGTATGCAAGATTGAGAGTATATAGAAGACTAACTACAAATTTTCATTTAGATAGCTTAAAAACTGAGAGACTAGATTGCGTAGAAACAGACGGACATGGCTAGATCGACTGAATGTGATTCTGATCAAGAATATATATACTTTATATGGTCAGGAAGAAAGTCGCTGGTGACCTGCGGCGACGCCTGGAAAACCGAGGATAAAGATAAAGGTCGGAAGCTTCTGTGACTGGATAGCGTGCGGCGAAATTCGGTTAAAGGGGCTCCTTAGGAGTAGGCGTCGACAAGCGAGAGCTGTCGTCATAAAAAGATGACTTGACATCAGAGAGATAAACCTTACCCTTAGCGGGCGAAGAAATTTAAGGTTTAAAGTTTTGGTCTGTTCCTGCATAGCAAGCTCCTTGAATAGGTCGGAGGGCATAAGTAACGTTAAAATCCTGGCTGACCTTCAGCATACGATGATTATTAAGAGCACACTGCAAGACTAGGCCAGATGGTTGTGCTGGATTCTTAAAACCTATACCTGGCCAAGAACGTATGGATTTTTCACCCTAGCCTCTTTTTTGAGATATTGCATCCAAAACTATTGCTGCCAAATCCAACTTGGGTCGCACTCGGATGTTCCAGAGCAAGGATGCTGCGTAGAATATCCGGAGCGGAGTGGTACATACGCAACTATATGAATATGCTCACCAAATGTGCTAGGAAGGGGACTTGTGTCTTGAGTAGACTAAGGAGTAAGGAGGAGGATCACCCTCTGGACTTTCATTGAAGGAAGATCTTATAAACACAGATAAACATCCCCTTAAACACAATTATTAGCATTCCCCCTTTATTTACATTCTGTAATACCTCTTTACCATGATTTGATTTATGTGATAGTCTCTGTAGTCATGGTATCGTTGTAGTTATTAAGCTTATAGCCGATACCATTACATATTATTTTTAGCATGAAGGTAATTCCACAGGAAAAATGTACATTTTCGGGTTACATATGTATGTACATATGTAGAAATTCTAAAGCTTTCAATTCGAAAGCGTATTCTCAGGCGATATCTTGCGACGTTTTTATGATGTCGACGAGTAGTCTTTATAACAGACCCACCCACTTTTTAAGTATCCAAGCTTTGAGTTTTGAAAGAAAATGTCTTTTTTTGTTCTTCACTGACAGCAAAGCATAAATATGTACATATGCACATATTTTCCCGCTTTTTCCTGTTGCAAATTTTTAGTTTGAGCTTATTTTCCTTATTTTTAATACGCTTTTATTAGTTCGGGATACATATGTATGCAACGGAGCCTTTAAACACTATTTTCAAGGGTTTCCAAATATCTGATAAGCTTGAAACTTCTCAAGGACCGATGACAATGCAATAATTAAAAAAAAAATTGCATTATCCTGATTGGGATCGTCAGGATTGATAAATTCTTTTTTTTATAGAGCGTCCGTAAAGGACTAAGAAAGACAGAGCTAGCGCGCGATCTGCGTATGCCAGCTGGACAAGCAGAACATGATTGCTCAAAGTTAACAGGAAATACCCCATGCAAATGAGATTACGAAATAGTTCGTAAGATATTTCATAATCACATGTCCGCAAAAATTGATTATTGATAAATCGAACTATATTACAAAAAAAAAAAAGATATAGTTTAGAAAATTAAAAACATACGATTTTATAGGTACCCACACTAAAAATAGAAAATAAATAATAGTTTAAAAAAACTAAAAAAAAAGTTTTTATAAATAACCGAACTAAAAAGAAGAAAATAATTTATAATTACAAACAAAATTATGAAATTCAGAGTAATATTATATAATTAAAAACAAGATCACTAAATTCAGAGTTAAAAGCGTGGGGTGCATCTATAAACAATGTTACTATTATTCTAAGGGCAACTATCTGTAAGGGGAGAATTATAAAAATATATAAATATCCTACAAATAACAGTTTCACTGTGCAATGCTTTGCCAAGTACATGTTTACCTATTGTTACAAACCATTATAAATGTATTTCTGTGAACATAAAATATAAAAGAAAATCTCTTATATTTACAAAAAATTATTAGATTAACAAAAACAGTGCAGCTGCAGAATATCTCGTCACGTATGTATTTAAACGTTGTGCTTAGTAACAGCATTATGTATATCACTCAAATGCCAATTTCACAGCAATAGTCGAACTGAATACATGTTAAAACAATGATTGATATAATTAATTACAGAAAAAAAATAACAGGTACTTGGCACGAGATACTACCGTGTCTCCGGATACACCCCACGCTTTTAACTCTGAATTTAGTGATCTTGTTTATAATTATATACTATTGCTCTGAATTTAATAAATTTGTTTGTAATTATAAAATATGTTCTTCTTTTTAGTTCGGTTATTTATAAAAGCGTGTTTTTTTAGTTTTTTAAACTATTATATATAATACAAAAAAAAAAAATTTGAAAAGTATTACTAACTTTACACAGCTTCAAAAAATAATACTAACAATCTTAAATAAAAAAAAAATAATGAAATAAATATTTTTGCACGCGGCAATTTAATAGTAAAGGCTTACTTAAGTAATTTCATCAAATGTGCTGTGCGGAGGTACAGATTCTTCGTTTTCAAAACCCAAAACGTAGAAACCTGTAAAATTGATAACAT